TTGAGGTATTGCACGTCACTGCTAGTTGAGTGAGTGAAAGGCTTCTTTGATTTCTCAGAGCCTCCTGTCTAGCCTGCCCCCAACTCTGCTTAGCCACTCGGCCTGGCCCAGCGCCCAAAACAGCCAAGGACCCCACCACCGCCAACATGGGACAGCAGAGGAATTGAAGTTCTCACTCTGTCTGGGTATCCCCTTTGCTCCCATTCTGTTCCACCCCGCTTATTGTACCTGTACCTTTCAGATCAGTTAGTTAAATCCAATGGATAGTTATTGAATACCTACCATGTGCCTAGTACCGGGGAGTGGGATGAAATCTAAAAGAGGCAGGAAGTGGCCCCTGCTGACTGGGGAGAGAAGGCTTAACCATATGACATAAATAGATTACTATCAAAACATTAGTGTATGCTCTGTAGTCATGGCACATACACATTAAACTTCAATAAATTCAACTATCTGGCTGTATAAGAAACTATATTACTGTAGTCTAAAATTGTAAACATTGTATCTTGTGTGTTTTTATTTTAAGCTGTCCTTGATTGTATACATTTTATGCCTTTATGCAGGTATATAGAATAGTATATACAAAATCATGTGTATTATACTTTGTGAGCATTTAAGGTATTTCAAAGGGTAATTCTGACTATATTCTATTCTTGCCTACCATACTGACTTTAGAATCTGACCCCATGTAGTATGTGACTCCGCTGTATCTAATAGAGCTCGTAGTGAGTATAATCAAGAATCGCCATGTGAATATGGTGATGTTTAGGTATAGACATTGAGTGCTGTGTTTTTAAATTAGAGCTTACCTACGCTTTGCCTGGTGCTTTACATGAACTTTCTTTTAAAATTCTCACAGCCCCACCCCCCAAAAAGTGGAAACTCTAAGAGGCCAAGCTGGGATTCAGACCCAGGTGTGTCTGTGAGTTCATGCTNAAAGGGTAATTCTGACTATATTCTATTCTTGCCTACCATACTGACTTTAGAATCTGACCCCATGTAGTATGTGACTCCGCTGTATCTAATAGAGCTCGTAGTGAGTATAATCAAGAATCGCCATGTGAATATGGTGATGTTTAGGTATAGACATTGAGTGCTGTGTTTTTAAATTAGAGCTTACCTACGCTTTGCCTGGTGCTTTACATGAACTTTCTTTTAAAATTCTCACAGCCCCACCCCCCAAAAAGTGGAAACTCTAAGAGGCCAAGCTGGGATTCAGACCCAGGTGTGTCTGTGAGTTTGCATTATCTTACCATGCAGGCCTTGGGTGTCAGGGAAGGCTTCATAAGTGAGGGGGGGACTGGAGGTGGCCCTTGAGAGATGGGGAGGGTTGAGAAGGTAGAGGGGCTAGTGGAGAGGCATGTATAAGTCAAAGTGCTGGTGGTGATGAGGGCAAGGACCTGTGTAGGAAGGTCAACCTGAGAGAGTGAGAGCTGGGTGGGCTGGGGAGAAGGCAATAGAGAAGTGAAGGTGAAGTACAAGGACGGGACAGGTTATAGCTGTCCTTGGAGGCAGGCTGAGGGGCCTGAGGGTAGTCTGTCTGGCTGTGGGAGTAACTCCAAAAGCCATAGATTAAGCTTATTAAAGATGTGGACCAGCCCTGAGATAGCACCGACCTTTGAGCAGCAGAGGGACTGGTTGTGGTTGTGTGTGGAGCTGAGCAGGTTGTCAGGGCCTCAGGTTTCCCTTCTGAGTGAGGACATCTGACCTTTTCACTAAGGAAGGTGAACTGATAGATGATCCCCATCAGTAGCACCAATCATCCCAGAGACAGAATTGACAGGATCTAGTCATCTGAATAGAAAAGAGGAGTGGATGGGCACTGTGCAGATACAGTGACACCTCAGTCACCCGGACGTCATTTTCTAGAGGACTGCTGATTGGCAGGTGGACCTAAGAGGGTCCTCGAGCTGCCTAAATAGTGGACACCAAGTCTGCATGTGAAAACCCAGGTCCTTCGCTTACAGGAGAGCCTGCTGTCTTCCTGACACCCCACTTGTTCCGCTCTGGACTCTGTTCTCTCAGGCTTGGTTATCTGGTTTTCTAACCTTTGGCAGAAACAGCATATTATAAGGAAGTGAGGCTGCTGGAGACAGACATGCTGACAGGCAGAGTGACAGCTGATGCCCTGACAGGGGTAGGGGGCAAGAGAACAAAACATATATGGACTCAAGGGGTGTCTGGCCTTCCTAACATGGGCATATAGCAAGGGTCATTGTGATGTCTAGATGGGGCCGGTGTCCTTTGAGAGTGGCTGGAGGATTGCGGGGGGTAGTGGGGGACAGAAGCCAGACTGGGAAGTCAGAAGTCATTGCAGTGAGGATGACATACTCTTCAGTACAGGATGGGTCGGAAATGATTGGGTTCAAGAGAGGAAGCTCGGAGTTTGAGATGTTTGAGATGAGATCAGAGTGTTTTACTTAAGAAAGAGAGTCTATAAAATGTTTGCTGATTTTTATTGTAACTAGTAATAGAATTTAGAAAACCACTCAAGATAGAAAACATTTTGTTCCTTAGAGGGGGTGGTTGTCAGTTACCTAGAAATTTTGCTTATGATGTGTCTTTTTCTCCCCCTAATGATCACAGATTGATAATAATAGTTAAAATGTACTGAAAGCTATTGTGCTGGATACTGTTCTTAGAGCTTTGCAAGTACTAATTCATTTAACCCCTATAACAACCCTATGTGGTAGACGCTACTACTTGCCCCATTTTACAGGTGAAGAAACTGAAGCACAGGGTTAAGTTGTATAGCTTACTGTATGGAAGAGCCAAGGATGAACCAGAAGTCAGCTTCCGGAGGTCTCACTAACTTACCATGGTACACCATGGAAAATCCCTTTAAAGCACTATTTCTCAGAATCAGCTAGAAGCCTGGTTAAAACACAGATGCAGGCCCTGGACGGTGTGGCTCAGTTGGTTGGGCATTGTCCTGTGCACCAAAAGGTTGCTGGCTCTATTGCTGGTCAGGGTACATGCCTGGGTTGCAGGCTCGATCTCCGGTAAGGGGTGTGCAGGACTCTCTCTCTCTCTCCTCCCTTTCTCTCTTTCTAAAGATCATTTTAAAAAACAAAACAAAAACTGCACAGATACTGGTCGCCATATCCAGAGTTTCTGATTCAATGGGTCTGGGAGGGGCCCTAGAATTTGCATTTCTAGTTAAGTTCCTAGATGATGCTGAAGTTGCAGGTCTGGGAACCACACTTTGAGAACTAAAGCCCTTTTACTCACTGGGATTTCACCAATGTCAGGCTAACCGTGTAAAAGAGTCATGCAGCATAATCTTTATTTCACAGATGAGGGAAATTTGAGTCACCTGCCCACAGTCACACAGCCAAGCCATTCATTCATTCATTCATTCATTCATTCACTGACTCACTCATTGACTGAACAAATGGGCGCCTCGGCACTAGGCCTTATGCTGGCCTCCGAGTCCAGCAGTTCTCAGCCTTGGCTGCATGTAAGAGTCACCTGGGGGAGTTTAAAAAAAAAATCCCAGCACCCATTCCTCCCTCCCAGACTAATTAAATCAGAAACAGGGAGTAGGGGGAGGGGGAGGATCCAGGCATCAGTATTTTTTCAGTCCCACAGGGAATTTCAGTGTGCAGCTGACGTTGGCACCATTGTGTCAAGAAAGCACTGGGGGTGTGGAGACCTGTGACACAGCATGTGCCCAGAAGGGGCTGAGCAGACCATGCCGCCCAGGAAGATGCGCCACTCCCTAGAAAGCAGGGACAGGAGCCCAGTGTCCTAAGGGCTGTATGTAGCTGTGCTTGCAGTGAGTGGTAGGTAGGAGGCAGAGCTGGTCTTTGTTCCTCTCTAGCAGTGTTTACCGGCCTTTTCACAGAGAAAGTAATACTATTCACCAGACCCACTGGGCTCACAGGACTGGCTGGGTGACTAGCCTGGGGTCTCTAGCCACTCTGGTTAGACACTGGTTAGGAGACTGCTTTGCTCCTGGGCTTCCAAGCACTAACCCCCCCCCAGCCTTTTTTTTTTTTTTTTCTCTTCAGAGGAAGAGGGAGGCAGTGACTATTTCCTTTTTTCCGCAGAGCTCAGAGCTTCTGAGACAGCTTCAAAAGACCTGTCTTTTGGCTCCTTCCCACCTGCTCCCAGCTCCCATTTCAGCCTCTCTGGTGTCCCCAGCCCGGGTCCAGGCATTGTGTGGTGCCAACTAGAGAGCTGGGCCACGATTTCTCTTCTCGAGGAGCCCTGGCTTTTCACCGCAGCCCCTGCTCATTGGCCAGACACCCACAATTTCCTCTGTCTTCAAAGCCAAGGCCCACCCACCGCACCTCCCCCTACCCCACCCTCCTGTGTGCCTGCGCAGAGATGGCCTGTGTGGGTAGAAGGATGTACACAGAGTGCAGCTATTCCACACATGTCCCCGGTGCATTTATTGCTGTGCGGCGGGCCTGTGCGTTGTGTTAGAAGTGATGGTAGAGGTTGTCTTGGCCTCTGCTGCAGTAATTAGATGGCTGGGGTGAGCCTGTGATTTGTGTATTCTCAAGAACTGTGCTCTGTGATTGAGTGTTCATGTGTGCTGGGGTGTGTGTGTGTGTGTGTGTGTGTGTGTGTGTGTGTACATGACTGAGCATGTGCTTGTCTTGATCCTGGCCTATGGGGCCGGGGGCTGCAGGTCCCAAATTCCTCTGCTATTTTTAGGGACTGTATCAGCTCAGCTGTCTGGAGGCTCGGGTGTGTGTCAGCAGGGAAGTCCCACCCTCCCTGTCCCTTGCCCCTAACCCTCCAGTACTGCGTGCCCCCCACCCCATGCCTTTACTCTGAGAGCCTCCGCCTTTCCTTCCACACGCTGCTATCACCCTCTCCCTGCAGGCGGCATACCTGGTGCCCGCAGTCCTCCGGGCCACTCACTCTCTCCGCTGGCTCTGGCCAGGGCCGGGCAGCTCCGGGCGGGAGGGGCCTGGGCAGAGGAGGGGAACGGGGGCGGGGCTGCAGCCAGTGCTATTTTGAGCTGCTAACGGAGCAGCATCTGAGAAGAGACTCCTCGCTCTGGGCTGCTCCGGGCCAGGCCATGCGGGTGAGTGTCCCTCTGACCCCCACCCCGGAAATGTCCCAGCCTCCTCATGCTGTTTCCTCATTTAGGAAAGGAGGGGCCTATTCGTTATTTTCCCAGATGTGGCTGAAGGAGGTGAGGAGGGAGGGGATGGGCAGCCTTGGGTCTCTTCTCTGAGCCTCTTGGTGGGGAGGGAATCACCCGGCCCAGGCAGCCTCACTCCGAGGCCAGGGGCCAGCCTCCTGGGGCTGACTCAGGACTTTGGAAGCTTCGGAGGAGACACCATATCCTAAGCCTCAGTGTCCTGGGACTGTGTCAGCCTCCCCACAGGCTGTGCCGTGCCTTCCCCACAGACCATTAGTGCTCGAGGCCTTCATTCCTTGGAACACTATTTTCTTCCAGAATCCGGAACCCCAGCTCCCCCAGGTTTTGGAAGACTTCTCTCCCCCTGCTTTGTGTTGCCAGGATAGCCCTCCACACCCTGTTCCTCCGGGTACACAAGAGAGAGGGACCGGAGAGAGGTAGTCCTTGGAGTAGTCAGGGACCTCTCTTTTCACTGTCCTCAAGAGTGGACTCAGCACTGCCTCCTCCGTTTCTGCGGATCGACACTTGGAGGGGGCACCAATGGCATCTCAGGGATGCCCTGATGGTCTGTAGGTCTCTCTTTTTTTTTTTTAGCAGAGGAATAAGTTCCCTTAAAAAACAAGTGAGGAGAAACATAGCTGCCTCCCTGTCCGTTCCGTTCCCCTCACGCCACCCCTCCCAGCCACCAAGGGTAAGGTTTTCAGTTGTGTCAGCAGTTGGCAGAGTATGCGGGCTGGCTTGGTGTGGAGGTGTATCGGGAGCCTGAGATGTGCCCATGAGCATTTGTATCTCTCTGTGACCAAGGACTGCCCCGCCCCGGCCATAAAACTGGCACCAGGGTGGAGGTATGTGGGCAGGCGGGGGTGGGGCCAGAGGGAGCCCTCACCCTGAGAGGTGGGTGCTTCCTGGTCTAGCTGACTCCCCACCCTGGGCCACCAGCACCAGCAAAGTGCCCTGCGGAGGGGCAGCGAGTCTCCCCAGGGAAGGGTGGCCTCCAGCAGGACTGGCCATTAGAGGAGGAAACCCAGGCCCTGTACAACTGCGGTGGCAGGAGGAAGCCATTCCAGTGCACCTGCTTCCTCCCAGCCCGCGGGCAGTGACTGCAAGCACCGGGCTGCTTTCTGTTCCGCCCTAAGCTGGGGGAGGGCTCTCACTGGAGGCTGGACCCAAGGGCCAGGGTGTCCCCGCCAAGCTCTTCTTCCTCTCTTCCTCTGCCTGGCTCGTGGCCTTCAGGCCACTCCCTGCAGAGCCCCTGTTCCTCTCAAGCAGCTCTCTCTCTGTGCAGTTTATTGGGGTCATGGGTGGAGAAGCAGGTCATCTACGGAAACCCTGCCTTCCGCCCAAGCTGTTGCTCTGGCAGGTGATGTCATGGCAGGACAGCAGTGCACGCGAACCTGGGAGATGGAGGCAGGGCTTGCTTCCAACCCTTAACGTGAGCCTCGGAAGTTCTTGCTGGAGGACAGGCCTGGGTGTGAGCCCTAACGTGCCACTTGCTGCTGTGAGGCCTTGGGCGAGTCATTTCTGGGCCTCCTTTTGCTCATTTGTGAAGTGGGAAGTACACCGGTGTCTACTTCAGAGGGATGCCGTGGGGATTAGAAGAGATGATGCCTGTGAACGGTTCAGCACGGTGCCTGGCACTTAGTACACGCTCAATACACTGTAACTGTTATTACTGTTACTTTCTCCCCTCACAGCCCCAGTCCTTACATAAGTTGGTGCTAGGTTGGGACTGGCAGGGAGGGGGTTGCCCTAGGACCTACTTTCTGCACCTCAGAATGGGAGAGGAGAGAGAGGAGGGTGCTGTGCCTCTTTCTTCCCCAAGTGAGAATCCCGGAGTGTGCGTGAGTGTTAGCAGAGGGGAGAGGTGCCAAGTTCTCTTCCTCTAGGTACGCTCTCTCTCGGGGCACCTGCTGCCCGTGGGGGCTCGCAGAGTGGGGGTATCCTGCTTGGGCACTTGGGCCTCGATGCATTTGTCCAGGCTGGGCATTCCATGCCTAAGGGATATCTGGTGGGTGGAATGATCATCCCGGGGGTATTTGTGCCTCCAGTCCCCCCAGTGAAGGGCTCAGAGGATAGTAAGTTAAGGTCCTTGCTGGCCATGCAGAGGGTAAAACCCAGCCTGGCCCAGCCCCCTGAGTGTTGGAAGCTTCTGGGGCTGAGCAGAGGTGGGTCCCTCAGCACCTTTCTTGGATTTTCTGCTCTTTGAGAACAAATGCTTTTAGCTATTATCTCCTCGGTGTTTTCTTTTTTATTGACTATTTAGTCATTTTTACAATAGAAATAAACAGTAACAAATACATGGAGTAGCATCTCTGTTGTGTCTAATTCACACGGTTTACAAGGTTATTATGATCACTGTTCTATTTAGTTTCTAGTTTTTCTGATTGATGTTATTTTAGGTGAAGTTTTCCATATGGTTACATTGTCCACATATTTGTTAGTGCATTGTAAGAAAGTACCACAGTTTACATAACCCTTCCTTAATCCTAGGCTTTTGGATGGCTTCCAATTTGGGGCTATTATATAGAGTACATCTTTAAAAGTCTTCGCATGGGTTTGTAGGTTTTTTCTTTCTCTTTCTTTTTTTTAATTATTGATTTTAGAGAGAAACATCAATTTGTTGTTCCACTTATTTATGCACTCACTGGTTGCTTCTTGTATGTGCCCTCACCAGAGATCGAACCCACAGCCTTGGCGTAACAAGACGATACTCTAACCAACTGAGCTACCCGGCCAGAGCCTCTCTTACTTTCCATAAGTCAGCTTATTGCATACACATTCCTGAAGATGGGCTGGCCAGGCCAGGGGATGATGAATTTCATGACTCTTGCTGCTCCCAAAGAGTTACTAAGGCCTCCCCTCAACTCTGTGGCACAGAGTTTACTATCTATTTATTGTTGCTAAGTTTAGAGATCATATCTCCCTTGTTTTTCCTCCATCCCTGGGAATCGGGATGGGCAGGTGTTACTCTCCATAGTTCAAAGGAACCCGCTGCAGCACTGTTGTGCAACAAGCATTTATTAAGTCACCATAGTAGGATGTGTAAAAAGAGAGTGCTGCCTATGAGGAAATCAGAGTCCAGGGAACGTTGCAGACACACATACAGCTCCCCAAGATCCATCCTTGTGGATCCCAGTTGTGAATCCAAGTGCTGCCAACTTACTATCTGGGGCCCTCAGCAAGGTGCTCACCTCTCAGTTTCCTTTTCTAGAAAGTGGGCTGTGTGAGGATTAAATGGAGACATATAAAGTGCTTACCACTGTACCTGGCTCATGGTAAGTATTCAGTGAGCGTTGGTTTCTCTTCGCTTCCTCAAGAGAAGAGGCCAGAAATGCCAGAGAGGAAGGAGATGGGATGGCCAGGTCTCAGCCAGTGGTGGGATCGTGGTGGGGGCCTCCCTTTGCAAGTCCAGAACCTCGATTTGGGCAGACTGGACACTAGGAAGTACCACAGCAATCCACGCTTTGTCTCGACCCAGACCTCCTGAACCTTGATGCTGACGCAGATTATTAGCCAGAGTTGGCTACTAAGGATGACTCAGCCCTCTGACCCTGCCTCACACAGCAGAAAAGGTGGCCTGTATGGAAGCAACACAGGCTTTGCAACCAGAGGGACTGGGTTCAAATCCTCCAGCTCAACTACTTATCAGCTTTGTGACTTAATCTCTTTCTGAGTCTTTTCCCTCATGGGTAACATGAAAATAATAATAACTCCCATGTCATGGAGCTGTTGTAAGATTTAGATTCGAAAATATACGTTAAATACATTTATGGGGCCCATCTCACTGTAGGTGTTCCACATTTAGTAATTAATATTGTTGTTGGAAATGGCCAAACTCTCTAGAGAGGGACCAGGTCAGGAAGAGGGGCCTTGGCTCCCAAGCACCCATGCTCCATGGAGCCATTCATTCCCAGCTCTTGGGGTGACTGTAGCAGAGATATCACCACCATCTTTGGGGCCTGTTCTGTATTGGATCAAAACAGGTTATTCTTGGTCCTAAGCAAATCTTAGTTAAAAATCCAGTGATAAAGCAGCCAGGCAATTCTGCACAAAAGCCACAGAGTGAATGTCCTTTGGGGAGAGCCTCACATTTGTGTTCAGAGTGATGTTCATAAGGAACAGCTGATGCAAAGGAACAGGCCCTGTTGTGAATGGCCTGGCGTTCCTACAGCCTGGGGTGGATGGGTTCCTTCCTGGACCCAGAGGAAACCCAGAGCAAGAGGTCAAAGAACAAATCCATTAATTAAACAGACTTAAAGTCTCTTGCATGTGAACTGGGTAATAAAATAGAAAAGTCAACAAAGCAAAATTAGAAATAACTCATCGAAAACAAACAATTCTTTAATTTTTCACTGTTAACTTCATTAGAAGCAGTAATAAGAATGAACCAGTTCTTAAACACTACTGAATTGAATGGCTTCTTTAGATGAAGTCTCTCCTTAGGCTGAGGCAGATGTTGCCCATTAATTTTCAAAAGGACCAGCTCTGGCTTCTAACCCACGAATGGGGTGGCTTTAAGTTCTCCAGGCCTCTTGCCCCTGGCAGGTAAAAGGCAAAGTTGCCAGAGTCCTAGAGCATCTTCCTTAATCCCCTCCCAGGTCACAGGCCCACAACTTTGGTTCACTGAATTAAGGGCTTGAGTGTCTCTTCCCACCCAGACTCCTATGGTTCCAGACCTAGAAAGGACTTCAGCCATTACGTAGATTAATCCATGCCCCACTTCTACAGAGAGGCCCAGAGAGGTGAGTGGCTTAAGGGCACACAGCTTCTAAGGACAGGAGGTCATAAGTTCTGTACCCCACTTTGTTTTGTCTTTCCTTAATATATTATTCCTTACCCCTTTTCTGACCCTTTGAAATTTGTAATCCTCTCCCCTCTGCGCCATCCCTTTTCCCCTCTGTTCCCACAGTGTTTGTCCTGGCAGATCCTGGCCTTTAGGAAGACTCCGAGTCCCTGAGAGACCCTGCCCACCCCCATTTCTTCTCTGACCCAGGGTGCAGGCTACTTTCGGGGCCATGGCCTTTTCATCAAGATTTGCCTTCTGGGAGCAAAAGGAAAGTTGGATTTCAAAACCTTTATGCTTTTCCTATGTGCTTGGCATGGTGTGTGCCGGCAGGAGACTGGCTTGGGAGAGAGGGAGCTTTGGAAACTGGAGATGGACTGGGGCATGTGTGCATATTTGGGGGTTGGGGAGACTAACCAGGGGGCCAGTGGACTCACTCTGCTGTCTGGATGGGCTCCTGTGCTGAGTCATGCTCCTCCCCTGAGTTCCGCCTCTAGTAAGCTGAGCTGCCTTTTGTCCCACTGGTGCCCCTCGGAGTTAACCCTTCCACACCCTTCCTACCCCCTGCTGCTCTGACTCACCCCTGGGACTGGGGGCTGCTAAGGAAGGGCCACTGGGAATGGCTTTGGCTCTGAGGCCTCGGAACTGGGTCTCCCTGAGTCTGGGGGCCGTGGAGGGTAGGAGGAGAGGGAGCCAGGCCTCTTGGCTGCCTGGGTCCAGAGGGTGATTCCGGCTGCAGACCTGGGCGTGCCTTTGTGCTGTGCACAGTCCCCAGCTGGGCAATGACCTACAACAGGCAGAGCCCTTTGGGCGGGGGAAGGGGTAGTGAGTCAGCCTCAGGCTAAATCCAGAGCTGAGCTCAGCTGGGTCTGGTGTCCCAAACATTTGGGGGGGAGAGCCCATGTTTCCCCAATGCCTCACCACTTGGGTGAGGCACTTGGGGTCTCAGGCTAGAGCCACTGGAGGGAAGAGGACAGATTGGGAGCTGGTGAAGGATGTGGAGTGGACTTGGATCCTGGGCCATCCCTGTGCCTGAGCTAACAGCACTACGTGCAGTGATGAGTGTGTCTGTGAGGTTTGTGAGCACTTGCCGCCCCTCTAACCTGTGTGCCCCGGAGTGGAGCATGAGCTAGTGCACGGTGTGGTCCCTGAGGGTGGGGTTGGGGTGAGGGATGGAAATTGGTGGCGGGCAACAGGTATGTGGGGGGGTGCAGCGGGCACAGACCTAGACTCTGCCACTCATTCCCTCTCCACCAGCCCCTCCCTTCCCTTTCTCTGCTCCAGTCCCAATTTCTAAAGTAGTAGAGTCCACGCTGATGAAGAATTGCCTCTGTGACAGTATGAACTAACTTTGAAGCTTGAGCCCGCTGAAAATAGTTCTGTGGGCAAGATGCAGCTTTAAAACGGCAGCGGCCATCATGCTGATCAGTGCCCCAGGCACCGCTAATTAAGGTTCAAAATTAGCCACAGACGATGGTTACAAACGGAGAGTCTCCCAAACGGAGAGTCTCCCCCCAGGTGGATAGTTAACAAAACCCTGGAAGAGTTTCTAAGGATCTTTCCCGTTAGGAATCAAAGGCTCCTTCTTACCACATTGTGCTGGGAAAGAAAGGCTTGCGAGGGGAGGGGGTGGTGGTGACAGACCTGTCTTTTTCTACAGTCCTAAGTGACTCAGTAAAGAAGAGAAATGAGATCCACTAGGAACTGCCTGAGCTTGTGGAGGGAGAGATGCTAGGGAGTGGGGGGAAGAAGACCCTCCCAGACCCGAGGCCTGGCCCCTCTGGGTGTGTTCTGTGCCAGTCACCGAACTGAAAGAACCTTCAGAGTGTCATATTGTCTGTCCTTTTATTCTGGATTCATTATGGCATCTGCCATTGACCCCTGACTCTGCTCTCTCCTCTGACTCAGGCCAGCTAGCTCCTGGGCTGAGCACAAATCCCTGGCCAGAGCAGCCAGAGCTCAGGCATCTTTGCTTTCTCCACCCCCTACCCCCAGCCTTGGGGTTCCCTCCCTCAGCTGCACAGTTGGCAGTTTTGTGGGTCTGAGGTTGGGAAGATATCTGGCCTCCTGAATCACCGCCTCCAGCCAGAGCTCAGCCATCTGGTTGAGAAGGCACTTGGGCTCTGTGCTGAGGGAGATCGTATGGAGCCTAGAAGCGAGCCGGAGCCAGCCCGATGGAGCCACCCATCCACTCGCCTACGTGGAGTTCTGCTGGCCCTGCGGGGCCCCCACGCTGGGGCTGCTCCCTCTCCTCAGTCCCTAGGTCAGGGGGCTCTTGTTTAGCCCACTCCTTGTCTGAGCTGGAATGACTCTTGTAGTTTAGCCTGAGGTGAATTAGCTGGATCTTTCTATCCACCCCGTAACCAAGGCCCTGATGCGGCTTTCATGGGTGGACCCCTTTAGACAGCCCCACTGGGCCATGTGGCTGGTCAGTGAGGGGAGGGGTGCTTGGCTTTTGCCCCCACAGAGACTCTTCATTCCTGAAGTTGTCACTGGACAGTTTAGGCCCCAGTACATCTGTTGCCCAGGTCTGTAGCCCCAGTATTCCTGAAAGCGCAGGAGCTCTGCCCTTCAGGGAGAGAGGCCTGTGGGATGCTTGCTTTCTGCGCTTTTCGAGCTGGGTCCCCCCGCCCTGACCTGCGAGTGACTTCTTTGTCTGCTCCCTCAGGTGAAAGAGGGAGACAAAACCCTGCCGAGGCCTGGCCCTCCTGGCAAGGAGGAAGGGGCTGTAAGTGCTTCCCCAAGCCCCCTGTGTGTGGGTGTGCCAGCGTAGCCTAGCCTGGGAGGCAGTTCCGCGGAGCAGGCAGGCGTGGGGGGTGCCCCTTTCTGTGTGGGTGACTAGAGGGAATGCGGCTAAAGGGGCAGGAGGAGCCTGTGCCATGCTCACCTGGGGCAGGTGAAGGAGATGGGAACGCCAAGGCACTTTGGAGATCTCCCCAAACTCCCCACCCCCCTTTAGTTCCTGCCTTTAAGTTCTGCTCTCCTGAACCTTTGGGGCTGGAGAGGCTTGGGTGGGCAAACTCCTAGGTCAGGAGCAGCTGTTAAGACTTTTCATCCTGCTCTGGGTGGCACCAGACAGGCCAGGGAGGAATTTCACTGCAGCTGCTGCTGCTCTTCCCAAGACCCCGTCAGCTGCTTGGTGTAGGGCCCCTAGGCACCCCTACCCCAGTCGTCCTGCCTTGGGATGGAGCCTCTGAATAAAGCTGAACTCTTTTAAGGCAAGAGAAGGGAGACAGTTCCAGAAGAGCCAGACCTAGAGATGTGTAGTTAGGAGAGGGCTGCTGCGGCACCGGGGTGGGAGTGCCCAGAGCTCTAGAGCAGAGCTGGATCACAAAACAGATCCATACTCCATTACCCCAGATGGTGCCTATCCCGGCTCCCCCCACTTCCTTGGGCGGAGATTTGATTAGCCAGGCATTGTGGCTTCTGCCTAATCTGTAAAGCATCCTGCAAGGCCAGCCTATGATTTCAAAAGGATATGTTTGAGATATGGGCGGGAGGGGTCTTGGAGTATGCCAGCTTTTTTTGCGAAAATTACACATAAGGTGCTTAGAAGACTTTCCAGCATATAATCAGCACTATATGAGTGTTAGCCGTTACTACCACCATCATCATTGCCATTGTCATCATCGTCTGCAGTTAGAGGGGACGGGAGGTTAGCCAGAGACGGAGGGGAGGGGAGGACCGAGCAGCTAGGGCCAGCAGCCAGCTCCGCAGTACCCTGGCATGCCAGCGAGCACTCTTGGCCCAAGAGGCTGAGGAAAAGCACCTTCACGCCCTCCCCTCCCCACCCCTGCAGCGGGGCCACAGTGCAGCTGAGGCCTGGGCTGAGGCCACCTGGCTCAGCTCTGCTCAGAACATGGGGCAGCCTCTCCACATGGCAGCCAGAGGTCTGCCCACTCTGTGAGCATCTTCCTACATCCAAGCAGAGGTGGCAGGTGGCCCTTCATGGACCCCAGTGCCCAGGTACACCCCAGAACCAAGGTCATTGTTTTGGGAAATAAGGCCACAAGCACAGCTCATTCGTGGCAGGACTTTGCCTTACCAGCAAGGAGGCCCTCGGTTGACCTTGGTCCCCCCAGACAATGTGGCTAGCTTTGCGGGAAACTCTACCCTGCCATTAGCCAGCCTGGCCTTGCCAGTGGCAGTCCTTTGGGTCCACAGACAGTTCCCACCAGTGTTGGGGGAAAAGTGGGTACACCAGGTGGAGTGTGCCAGCATAGTCCAGTTAGTCCCTGGGTGCCCAGAGGCAGGCTGGCTGAGCCAGGGCCCAGCTCTAGGGCAGAGTGGAGCCATGGTAGTGTGAGTGCTTAACCCTTTGTGGGCCACAGCTGCTTCCGCCTCCTCCCATTATTCCACATGTACACTGGGAGCTAGGAGGTTTCCAGCCCTTGAGAGGTTTGCAGGAGGAAAACTGCAGAGAGACTGATAGAAAGCAGGCTGAGGTGGAAGCTTCCTGGGCCAGCGCTGGGTTTCTGCAGCCCTTGAGAATGTGGTTGAGTAGACAGTGGGTGGAGAGTGGACAGTGGCTGCAGACCAGAGGAGGTGGAGGGAGGAGGCTTGGCTTATCTTGGGGCCAGGAATTGCTCCCTGACCATTGTTCTTGTCAAGATGAGCAGACTGTGGGTCTGACTGCCCAGAAACCCAGGTGATAGGGGCACCACAAGGGCAGGAAGCCCTGGAGTGAGGCCTAGGAATGGGTTGTTGGACCTCTCCATGCTCCATCTCTGCTGTGTTTGGGCTGTGAGGGAGGGGGCTCAGCTGGATTGGGGCTTGGTTGCTGCCCTGACAGAGAGCCAGTAACTCTGGGGCGCCTCATGGGCCTCCAGGCATTCTGTGCTGGCTTCTCACAGCTCCATGCTAAGCCTGGGGATAGAGGCCAGGTGACTGCTTGTGCTTTGTGGGAGAGACACCACACTCTTAGATGCAGTTGTCCTACCCGGGTGATGGAAGGCCTCTTGGAGCCATGTGTTGTTTGGTGCATGAGAGGGAGGTCTGTTTCAGGGCTGGGCATGAGGTAACACCTCCTACTTCCTCTGCATGGGGTGGGCAGGGACCTGGGCTGATGCTAATGTCTACCTGTATCTGTGTGACTGTAGCTAGAGGGCAACTCAAAGGACGGCAGTGGCCCATCTAAGAGTCCTCAGCCTCCCACCAGCCCTGTACCTGCAGAGACTTCCCAGAGACCCAAGAGCCCTGTGCCCACACTGGCCATGAATGGCCTGGGGGCTACCTCAGCAGGAGGCCCAAGTGAGGAGGCCCCGGGCCTGTCCCGGAGGAAGGTGGCGAATGCGGTGAGGAAGGTGGTGAGCAAGGTGCTGCCTGGCGAGGAGCCTGGAGGTGCCAGGGAACCTCCAGGCAGAGGGCTCAAATCCCCTGAGCACCCAGCTCGAGGCAAGAAGGGAGAAAAGGCGGCTGCTGGTCCCGAGCCCCCTCCTCCCCCTCCCCCTCCTCCTCCTCCAGCTCCAACTAAGCCTGAAGCAAAGAAGGAGACAGCCAAGGATGAGCTCTCAGTGGGCCTGCGAAGCCTGATGTCTCGAGGCAGGGGCAAGGACCACAAGCCCCGCAGCAGACAGTCTCCTGGGAAGGGGGAGAAGCCCTCCAGCCAGGAGCCGGGCTCCTCAGGGAAACCAGGCTCCCTGGAGGTGGTGGACTCCCCAGCCAAGCCTGGAACCTCAGAGAAAAAGTGTCCCCCAGCCCCACCAGAAGAGCTGGCTGACTCCGGCTCCACTGGCCCCAAGTCGAACCTCACTGGATTGCAGCAGTGCAAGTCACCAGCCCCTGATGTGCAGCAGGAGGTACCCGAGTGTGTCACTAACCTCCCATGCCCCTTACCACCCTCACTCGAGGGCCAGGCACCCTCACCACCGGCTTCCCCAAGGTTCCCCCACAAGCCCCGCATGGCAGAGAGGCTAGGCCCGGGCCTTTGCTGATGGCGGGGCTGCATGGCTTCCTGGACTGAATGCCAGAGTCCATGGTGGCCCGACTCTGCGATGGGACCTGCTAACCAGCATGCTGCTGCTCTGTGGGAGCCAGAGCCTGGTCCTCAGCCAGGTGGGCTCAGCTTGAAGCTCCAGAACCCACAACAATATCCAGAGTCTTAGCAGATCAGCGCTAGGGCGGGAAGACAGAACTGAAGTTGGGTGGCCTGCATGCGTTCACATCCCAGCCACTCACCCCTGTGAGATCTCAGCCAGGTCCCCTCTCCGAGCCTTCATCTGTCCAGTTGGGACAACACAGGTCCTCAGTTTCTCCTCTGAAGCCCTTGAGGGCAGAAGTATTTTGGAAATTAGTAATTTTTATACTTTAGAATATTGTACAGTGTATGTAATGAGGAGCAACTCATGACCAAAGACATGACTATTTCCACAGCAAAACCTATGAATGCTCATGCTGCGGAGGGATAGAATACAAACAGTCAGGCTTTGCCATGAAAATAGTTCAGAAAAATCTTTTTATTTGGGCGGCTTTTTGGGTTTTGGAATTGCTTTGAAGGGTTACTGTGAAGATTAGAAATGATTCGGGTAATGAATGGTCCCAGCCCAGCCCCTGGCGTGGTGGGTGCTCCATAAGTAAATGGTAGTATTGATAGTGATGCTAATAACAGTAGTTATTAATAACATCACTGCCAACACTACCTTCATGCCTGACCAGCAGTCCCCTCTGGCAGCAGGACCCTAGAGGAGCCCTGTGCCTGGGTGGCTAATGGGCACAGTGGGCCCCCTTTGGATCTGGGGCCCTGTCTGTCCACAAAGTGCCTTCTGGGTGGGACAGGAGGCTGAGAGGCAGAGGGGAGGGACAAGAACTGTCAGTCCAACCCTTTCCTTTGGAAGGTGATGCCTGCTTGGCTGGTCCTTGGGTTGGGGACAGCTCTCTTGAAGCTTTCCCATTTTGTAGACCTTTCTGAAGCCTCGTGGGAGGGGTGTTGAGGGGTGTCAAGTTTCGCCATTGCTTCCTGTGCTTTTGCTTGCTCCTGGTTGGAAGGGGAGGGTCAGGGAACCAGGGGCAGGGCACAGCCTAAAGGCCTGGCGTGTCTCCAACCTCTGGGATTCCTAGGGCCCCAGAACCTGTCTTGCTCCCATTGCACTTTTCTTGGGTTTTGCAGAACCTAGAAAGGAGCAGGCTGCAGTTCTCCCCACCCCTCCTGGCTCACCCTGAATCAGGGAAGTGACCTCCTGATACACAGAAGTTGACAGGGGCATTTTGGCTTGATGGGCAGGGCATGAAGCAACCATCTGTCCCTGAGCAAACCTCTCAGGAGCCGAGAGCATCATGTGCCTGTTCCCGGGCCGGCAGCCCTCCCTCTGGCTCCCTGTCCCTCCACCTCTCACTAGTGGAGTTGGGGGTTGAGAAGCTCCAAGCTCTGCCTGGAGTTCAGCCACCTGTCCCCTGGGCTGATGGAAGGGGCCAGAGGGTGTGCAGAAGAGCAGGGCCATCCTGGTGCCGAAGTGGTTAAGACAGTGAGAAGAAATAACCCCAGACCTCTCAGGCGCCTGTTCTTTTTTTTTTTTTTTTTTTT